GTGGTCAAGGACTACAGGCTGTCCCCCTGCCTGCGATGCGAGCCGTTTCGTAGGAGCAACCGCGATTGCAGCCTGGCATCTCGATGGAGCCTGCCACGGCGCCAGCTGTCTCGATGGAGGCGAGGGAGGAGGAGGAGGAGGAGGAGGAGGAGGAGGATGGAGGAGGAGGGAGGAGTGGAGGGGAGGGGAGGTGGAGGAGGAGAGGAGGAGGAGGAGAGAGGAGGAGGGATGGAAGGAGGAGGTGAGGAGGAGGAGGAAAGGAGAGGAGGAGGAGGCCAAAGGAGGGGTGGAGGAGGAGGAGGAGGGAGGAGGAGGAGGAGGCGGAGGCGCGGTGGGAGGGGAGGAGGAGGAGGGGGTGGAGGAGGCTAGGAGGGGTGGGGTGGGAGGAGGAGAGGAGCAGGAGAGACAGGAGGAGGAGGAGGAGGAGGAGGAGGAGGAGGAGGAGGAGGAAAGGAGGAGGATGAAAAGGAGGAGGAGGAGGAGGTGGATGGGTAGGAAGAGGAGGGAGGTATTGAGGAGGAGGAGCAGAGGAAGTAGCAGGAGGGGAGGTAGAGGAGCAGGATGGAGGAGGAGGCGGAGGCGGAAGGGGGAGGGGGGACCGAACAGGAGGAGGAGAGAGGGTGAGGAGGGTGAGGAGGTGGAGGAGGGGAGGAGGTAGAAGGGAGTGGGAGGAGGAGGAAGAGGAGGAGGAGGCGTACAGGGAGGAGGTGGATTGGAGGAGGGTTGTGAGGAGGGTGAGAGAAAGGAGGAGAGGGTGGAGGAGGGAAGAGGGAGGAGGAGGAGGAGGAGGGGAGGAGGGGCGGAGGTGGAATAATAAACCTTGTAAGAAGACGACTATACTACTTGGATAGTTGATAGAAGAAACTAATTATATTATATAATTTAATTACTACCATTCATAACGAATTTTAATGTATACTTTACTACTTCTACTACTATTACTACTTACTACTTCTAGTACTGTACTTAGTACTAGGTTCTTTTGTGTACTTGTATAGTACTAGTACTAGTACTAGTACTAGTACTAGTACTAGTACTAGTACTAGTGCTACTACTACTACGACTACTACTACTACTACTACTGCTACTGCTACTGCTACTGCTGCTGCTACTACTACTACTACCACGAATGAGACTGATACGAATTAGATTAACACGATGAATATTAGTATTACCTAGACTAACAAGATTGATAATGCTACTTATGGTAATATAAATATGAATACTAGTTACACTATCAAGAATACCAGACACACTCTTATCAACAATATCGTTGATACTTTGAATCCACATTACTAATAAGAAGGTGCGTAACACTAATACCAAGAAGAAGACGGAACATACGAACACATAATAATGACACTATGAAGAATGATAATGACATTGTACTAGAAGAATAGGACGACTAATAATGATAAGAATACTAATAAGAAGAATACCATTACGACACATACTACTAATAGTAATATTGATATTACTAATAGTAAGAAGAGGATGATGATGATGAGGAGGAGGAGTATGAGGAGGATGAGGAGGAGGAGGAGGAGGAGGAGGAGACGTGGGGACGGGAAAGGGTCGGGGGGGTCGTGATGCTGTCCTGTGGCCTTTGGCCAAACAGCGGAGGGCCGTCCAGGCGTCCTGGAGCTTGGTCGTAGAGCGATTGAGCGGGACACGTTGTCGGAGGGTCTCGAGTTTCTGAGGCCTCGGAGCACGAAGGTCTGTTTCGACTGCGCGTTGATGCCCTCAAGGACCAACCCACGCGACGCCAGGCCTCGTGCAACCGCGACCCCGGCACCCATCCCTTTTTGGGATGGGTGGCCACCGGGGTCAGGCGTGTAAGGGCGCAGTCCTCTCCGCATAGTGCTGTACACCCCCACGGCCTGCGGGCAATGGCCCCTGACCCAGGCTGGGGGGCAGGGTGAGAAAAACGAGAGCAGCGCAACAGCGCGGGCGGCCCGGGCGGGGGGCGGAGGGGACAGGGACGGGGGACGGGGGGCTGTCGTCGTGTCGTCGTGACGCAGGCGTGGCCGCCGTTTCCTCCTCCACCCCCTCCTCCTGCTCAGCCTCGACCTGTTCCTCCGCGCCCTCAGCCTCCTCCTCTCGTCCTCCGCTTCCGCCGCCTCCTCTTCAAGCTGGCCTCATCCTCCTCCTCCTGCTCCTCCTCCTCCTCCTCCTCTTCCTCAAGCTGCCTTCCTTCTCCTCATTCTCCTCCTGTTCGGCGCTGGTGCTGGCTGGGGCTGCGCGGTGGCGGGCGCCGAGTGCTGGCGGCGGGCCCGCGGCCAGCCCTGACTCCCGCTTCGCGCTCGCCCTGGTGTTTCTCTGGGCAGCGCTGCTACGGGGCCCTGGCCAGTGCAACCCTCCCGCCCGGGAGCAACCGTTGCTGCCGTGCGGGCCTGGGCCCAGCACCGGTGGCTCCGGGGCGCCGGTGTGGCGCATCGTGTGTGTGTGTGTGTGCCAGCTCCCAGCCAAGTTTCGCCCTCCTCTCTCCTCCTCGCCTCCT